AGGGCGAGGTCCGGTCCCGAGGGGAGGGGGTCCCGGGGCCCGCCAGAGCGCTCCGCCGGGGCCGGGAAGGCACTGTGCCTAGGGTCTGTCCCGAGGGAGCCCAGAGGCAGTTGGCTGCGGAAGAGGATAGGGGGATCGGGGAAGGAGAAGCGAAATGCTGAGGCTGGACCTCTGGAGAGCGTGGTGTCCCGACTTGGGGGACTCTAGGATTCTTTTTTGCTGGAATAAAGGAATTTGGAGAATTCTTTCCAGGACCCGAGCAATATTGGAGGGGTAGACTTCAGACCTATGACAGACAGTGTGCATTCCCCTCCTATCTGCCCCCCAGTAGGTCCTTTACTCCTTACTACACCTTCCCTCAGGCTCCAACAATCCCAGGCCTCCTGGGTTCCAGCTTCATCCTTGGTGCCAGGAGGGGAAGTCTTTCCTCAGTTTACCCTTAGTCTAAGCCTTGACTCCCCACGGAGATGCTCCACCTTGAAGCATTAAAGTGCATCCTGGAGCAGGTGAGGAGTGTGACTGGGAAAGCTGACAGAAAAGAAAGCCATTAACAATCATGGAAATGCTGTGTTCATTTCCTCCAGGCCTCTGGCTCTTTTTTATAGCTGGCCAAGCCCTTTGCTGTCCTCTGATTCCACAGCATGCTATGAGGGAAGCAGGACAGGGAGTATTACCCTTTAGTACAGAAGGGAGATTAAGACCAGGAAGGGACATTGCCTGAGAACACGGGTCAGCAGCAGCTGAGCCAAGACCAGCAGCTGGAAGTTGTCCCTGCTTAGGGGCTAGAAATTGCCATAGGGGCCAGTTGTGGGTTCAGTACCCTTGTACTCCTTTCCTGGGTCCCTGAACAGCTTTGTCTTGGTCCTGGTCTCCATGAGGACAGGGGCCCATTTGTCTGGAGCACCCAGGCCTGTCAACCCTGGCTCAATGTTGATAGCACTTACTGTAACATTGTAGGGTGATTAAAGTGCAGAGCGTGACCTCCCTAAACTGTCTTAGCCCTTGAATGTCCCCAGGGGTTCAGCTGGCATGAACCTGGGCCACCATTGACAGTGGGAGTCCCTCCTGCACCTGAGGACCTGGAGCCCCTGAGTTTGCTCAGCCCCTGCCAGGACTCAGTGTCCTGGTAACATCCTTCATTCAGATCCAGCCTGCAGTCCCAGAGCACCCATTCCAAATAGGCACTGACTGGACTTTGCTCTCAGGATATTCTTGGCCCAGCCTAGCTCTTTTCTCCTGTTTGTTCTCGGTCAGTATCAGAACTGAGCCTTGCAGACAGTCGGATGCTCAGGGGCCTCAGCCATGGAATAAAGTGAATGCATGGTGTGGGGAGGAGGGAGGAATGCAGAGTCCATTTTGGAAGAGGTGGTCAGAAGAATGAATGTAGGTCAATCTTGCTCTGCATAAACTTTCAGCAACTCTTCCCAGGGGATGGGATTAGCAACCACAATTGAAGAGCCCTTTGTTAAAAAAAACTTGATGTCCATGAATTTGGGGCTGGCAGTATAATTTAAGTGTTAGAACACTTTCTAGAATTAACAAGGCCTTAAATTCTAGCCCCTAATTTTACTAAGAAAAATAAAAAATTACTGAGATTTTCATCACTCCAGGAAGGAGGATCAAAAATTCAAACCCAGCCAAGTGTGGTTTCACACACCTGTAATCCCAGTGCTCAGGAGGATTGCCTCAAATTCCAGAGCAGGCTGGACTGCATAGTGAGTTCAAGCCAGCCTGAACTACATAGTGAGACCCTGTCTCAAAACAGCAAGCACAAAAAGAAGAACAAGTTCCATTCCAGCCTGGGCAACCTACTCAATTCAGAACTTAACTCAAAATTTGAAAAAGGGCTGGAGATGTGCAAAGGCCCTGGACTCCATCCCTGGTGCCAAAATAAATAAGTTAGTAATAATAAAAGAAAAAGAATTTCAAAAAAGAGAAGAACTTCAAGAGAGTAATAGCAAAGCGTTTGACCAAGTCTGGGGCCTTTTTTTCTTTCCTTCTCTCTCTCTCTCTTTTTTTTTTTTTTTTTTTTTTTTTTTGAATTGGGAATGAACTCAGGACTTGGTGCTTGACAGGCAGCAAGGCACCACTGAGCTAATCCCCAGCACTGGGGCCTTTCTGAGTACAGGGCCATGTGTGACTGCAGAGTTCACATACCCATGAAGTTGGCTCTGCTGATGCCATAATTTCAGCAAAGGATCCTATCAAGACAGAATCTCCAGGAGTTGACCCAGAAATTAGCTCACCAGATCTGGAGAGGAGGAAGGAAGTGCCTAAGGAAAGGTCAGGATTGTATGTCCTTCACTACTCCTAACTCAAACACCCAGATGTCTTCACCTCCCCTCCCCAGGTTGGACCACCTCAGAGCAGCACCCTGGCTTTCCTTATCCCCTGGCCTATGGACAGGCATGTTTCTGGGACACCGGTCCTGGAATGGGCTAGCCTGTGCCCCAGCTGCAGCCACATCCTGCCTCCTGGATTAATGATTGTTCAGCTCTGCTACCTTTCTTTGCTGGCTATACAGAGCAGCTGAGGGAGCTGACTTCCCAGCAGTCCCTGTGGGCAGGCCCCAAAGTCCAACCTGGAGCCAGGCTGTCAGCTGACCTAGCAGGAAGTTGCCTTCTTGTCCCCAGGGAGGAACCAGCAATAACCAGGCTTGGGGCAGCAGCCCAAGGGCCTTCCAACATTACCCCACTGTTTTAGGAAAGCCCAGAACCACACCACTGTTGCCTTCACACAATCCCAAATTGCCTGAAAGACCTGCCTCCCACAGGTACCGGCTTTGTCCCCTGTGGGCCTGGCTTCCGACCACACAGACTCCTCACTTCAGCTGGACAGTCAGGCCACTTCTTTCACAGGGAAGGTTGGAGGGGGACAGAGTCTGAGGGTGGGAGCACTGTGGCTTCCTTTCCTTCTTAGACCAATTGGAGGGGCTGGTGTAGTGGTGAAGGGTGGGTGGCCAGCATTCCTGTGTCCCCTAATCTAAGGCTCCTGGCATCTGCAACTGCCTTGCTAACATTTCAAACAGCCTCCCTGCTGAGGTCTTTGATCCTCCTGGTATCTCTTAGAATCAGGCCCCAGCCTAATTCCCCCTTTTTCCCTCATCCCCATAGGGTTGAGAGGTGAAATCATTTGCTAGGGTATTAGTGGTATGTGGCCAAGTGGAGATGCATTCTTATGGGCTCTCAGCTCCAAGTGCCACCATTCACGAAGCCACGGGAGGACAGGAGGAGAAGGGGAAGGAGAAGACAGAGGGGAAGGCGTAAAGGTCTTTCTTGCCACCTAGTCCCCAGAGCTGTGCATTCCAGGCTTCCAGAAAGACTGATCACAAATAATCAGGGAGGGCCAGGGATTTGGCTCAGTGATTCTGGCGCCTGCCTCGCAAATACAAGGACCCCGAGTTCGATCCCAGTACCCCCCCGAAAAAAAACCCCAAATAATCAAGGATCCCACTGTCATTCTATTCCCTGCACTCAGTGTGGATAATGGTTTCCCAAGGTTTAGCTTGAGGAACCCTAAAAGGATCGCTAAAGCCCATGAGTTTGAGATCAGCCTGAGCGACAATCTCAAAAAAATAAAAAATAAAAATATCTGCTCATGTCAGTAGGACATACACTAAAACTGGAACAACGTAAAGAAGCTTAGCATATCCCCTGCACAAGGATGACACCCAGATTCATGAAGTGTCCCATAGTTCTAAAAATTTCTTTTAGCAGTGGAACTTCTTTTTCCTTCCTCAAACAAAACCCACCCCAAATCCAAACAGATAAAATGCATAAGGGCGGGGGATTTAGCTCAGTGGCACCACGCCTGCCCCACAAGTGCAAGGTCCTGAGTTTGATCCCTGGTACCACAAAAATAAATAAATAATAAATAAAATGCATAGAAGCAATATTATACAAGGGTAAGTTTAATTTATTAATCAAAACTTAACAACCTTTACTTAGCATGAAGTAAATCAGTCATGACATTTTGATGAACTGAAAACTTGAAACCCTTAGTTGTAGTGGGTGGTTATGGTTTTAATTGAGTGCCAGAATTCAGTTCATTTCTACAGTGGTTTGTTTTAGTTCATCGGTAATTAGGAAATACTGAGTCTCATGGACAAGCAGAGGCAAATGGTTAAGAGCTTTAACAAGTTGGTAGAAATGTTGGAAGTTTTATCCCGAGGTCTGTACAGAAACAAAACAAGTCTGTCAAGGGCTTGGGATGTAGCTCAGTGTCAACATCCTAGGTTCAATCCCCAGTACCGGAAAAACAACAAAACGAAGCACAGAGCCAAATTGTACAAGGAGAAACAAGAGGAGCCCTGCAGAGGCTGAGGCAGAAGGATCACAAGTTTGAACCCACCCTGGGCAACTTAGTGACTTAGACCTTGTCTCAAAGTAAAAAACAAAGGCTTGGAATATAGCTCGGTGCAAAGGCAAAGTTCAATCCCCAGTAGCAAAAGAAAGCCCTGAAACGAACTGGGTTCTTGCTGGTCCCTAGCCTGCTGTGCTGGATGTCCCTGGCAAGAAACTTGGGGCCCCAGTGTCCCCCATCTCAATCTGAACCTGTTATTCTACCCAACAGAAGTGTCTGAATGTGTTTGAGTAGGGTGTGCAGTGCTCATACGCACAGGCCGCATTAACTCATCCTCACCACTCACCCCGTCCCAGCACTGGGCCCAGGGAGAGCCCCACAAAACCACTGAGCTGCCCAACTGCGAAGGCAGAGGTGGGTTGCCATGGAGATATGCTTTGCTTCCCCAGCTGTTTGGCTGCATCTGACCAAGCACAAAAAGCTCAGCCAGATGAACACTGACCTAGGCTTAGAGAGCAGGGATTTCCCGACCCTGAGATGCAGAAGGTTTGCTGCTCTCCAAGTTAGAGGGCTCAGCTCTTCTCTGAAACAGGAAGATGAGCTGTCCTGCCAGCTGGAAACACTTCATGGGAGAGAGGGGCTGCTAGGAGGGGCCCCTTTCTAGTGTTTGCAACCACCCACTCTACTTCTCCTGGGCAGCAGGGCTGGCCTTGTGCCCAAGGACAGGGTCAAGAGGAAAACACCCACACTCAGAGCTTTCTGGAAGCTGGAGGAAGGATCAAAAAGTGGGGCCAGAGATCCCTGGTCAGAGGGAAACAGCTGGATGTGGATTCTCAGGGACCCTAAACCCCATTCTCCCACTTACACAGGGGTATATATAAACACCCTGGGCCAGGCCAGGCGTGGTGGCACACACCTATAATCTGAGCACTCAGGAGCCTGAGGCAGGAGGATCACCTTGAATTTGAGGCCAGCCTGGGCTACAGAGTGAGTTAAAGGCCAACCTGAAATACATATTGAGACCGAGACCCTATCTCAAAAAAAACCCAAAAAAACCAAAACCCCCTGGGACATAAACACAGGTTGGCATATCCACATACACATACACACTGATTTACACTGGCACATCGAGATACACGGAGACAGTAAGACGTAAACCCAGACATACAGACACCCATAAACACTCAGGTACACAAAGACAGTGACATCTAAACACATAAACAGGCACTGAAATACAAACTTGTACACACACATGGCTAACACTCAGAAACCTATCCACGTACAGAGACACACAAGTATAGACATTCTCAGACACATAGATATCATAGGTACAGAGACGGGGTCGGGGGAGAGGGAGAAAGAAGGAAGAGGGGAAGACAGAGGTTACACAAACAGACCAAAAGAGACAAAATAGTCCTAAGTAAAAACACAGATCTAGGCCACAGGAAGAAAAGGGAAGTAATACTTGGTGAGAGCCAATTCTGGAACAGGCAACATGAAAGGAAGTTTATCTTTTGGATCTCTTAAAAATATTTCTAACAATCTATGAGGTTGGTATCATCATCCCGGCTTTGTACAAATATGATTATGTAAAATATGCATGCTTGGGCTGAGTTGTAACTCAGTATGCTGGTGGGGGTAGCTTGGCAATAACACACTTGCCTACCGTGCAAACCCTGGGTTTGATTCCTAGCACCACACACACACACATTTATAAAAGGTTCAAATAGGGCAGGGGATTTAGCTCAGTGGCCACCACCTGCCTCGCAAGCAGAAGGTCCCAAGTTCAATTCCCTGTACCAAAAAAAAATAGGCCCAAATAGCTGGGGTTGGTGGCGCACGCATGTAGTCCCAGCATTGGGGAAGCTGAGGCAGGAAGATTACTGTGAGTTCAAGGCCAGCCTGGGCTACATAGCAAGACCCTGCCTCAAAAAAAAAAAAAAAAAAAAAAAAAAAAAAA